TGAAAACCTTGTCAGGGCCTTCTGAGACTGTTTCGTTAGACTGGGTAGGATACTAACTGCGTATAATATTTATACAGCCCAATTTCCTATATCCTTGGTCAGCAACTGGATTTCCTGGAGGGCCATTTTGAGAAAGCAGTCAGGATTGGGCACTTAAGCCTCAGAACCCTCCTATAGCCATTCTCAGCCTTTTATTTTTGGCACTGCAATAAACATGATATGAAAATATAGGCCGAATCAGGATTGCGTAAGTCACATAACGAACCTTATAAGGTGGAGTGTGAAAAATTGTTCCCAGTCTGTGGCCCCCTTGAAATGTGCCAGGGCATCCCAAGCCCTAGTAGGATTTTTGAGGATGCTCATAATATAAACCCTACCCCAAAAATAAGCCCCAGTTCAGTGAAACCTTGCCGTCCACCCTTGTGCTGCCACCAGAAGAAGATGACATGACTGTATTTGAATAAATGTAGATGGTTGTACATGAAAAAATAAAAATAAAACCTCCCCTGAAAATAAGTCCTAATGTGTTTTAGGAAGCAAAAATTAATATAAGACCCTGTCTTATTTTCGGGGAAACACGGTACAGGTATTTGTAGCTCATGTTACTTAGTGTGGTGTTATAGCTTGAGATTCCTGCATGGAGCATGGGGATGGACTTGATGGCCTTATAGGCTCCTTCCAGCTCAATTATTCTATGATTTTATGAGAGCAACCAGCTTCAAATATACAAGCAAACATGCAGAGAAAGTTCAGAATAGATGTAATGGAAGGAAAGTGTAGGGAAGCACAGCTTCAAAGATACCACCCACCCACCCCAGAGGCACCGTGATGTCACTTGCCAGAGTCACTGAAACCTGAAAGCCTCATCATTACCTTATTTACTTGCCAAACCTTGTCATGGCAGATGAATATGGCAATAATGAGGCTTTCAAGTTTTTTTAAAAAATTATTCATTATTAGCAAAGAAGTCAGAACAAGAGATTAGCTCACTTTTCTCTGCCTATCTAGTGATCCTTAAAAAAAAAAAAAACCAGGGGTATTATGCTAAGGACTGCTGCTCTGTGGGGGGTGTACTTGGACTTTTTAGGAGCATGTTTAGGAGGCTATGAAGAACTCTTGAACATCTACCACCATACCGCTGGTTAAAGAAGCTATTTTCCAGGTCAGAATCAGAGTCTGGAAAACTGCTATTTGATCCATTGTGAAAAAAAGAGGCAGCTCTTACTTTGCTTACCTCACACCCAAGAGGATACAGTATCTGGCTCTGTTTTCAAACCCAGAGCAATACTGGACTGCATTTCAGACATCTCTTTGTGCAGCCTGTTGGGGGCAGTTTTGAGCAGGAGAAACAGTAGAGGTGGAAAGGGCGTGTCCCATGTCCCACAGTGTGATGGTCTTGATCCAATGCAGTCTCCCCAAGATTTTAAATATTTTAAAAAACAATGACATGCAACCCCCCTATTCCTCCATGGTGGCCCTGAAACAATAATTTCTAACAACAGCAGCAGCAGCAGCAACAACAAATCCTCCTGTTTGCCTTCTCTAACTGAAGTGTTCCAGTAAGACATGCCTCATTCGGTGGTGAGCCAAAAGATTATGACCAACTGGTGAGGATCAAATCTGCCCACTTCCAGACTTGCCCCTTTCAGCATAACATGATGATGCTGATGCATCAACTGAAGGAAAGAATCAATATCTCCCCTCTTCCCCTTGGCAGTGCTTTACACTTCAGTGCTCACTGAGTGACAGTAAAGAAGAGTCTGGCAACAGAAAGCTGGCTGCATCTTGGAGCTTTTCAAATGTCCTATGTGTGCCGTGGTACAGTTGCAGTAAACATGAGAACACCATTTTGCAAGAGTCAGCTTCTACTGGCTCCAGATGTAATCTCAGGGTCAAATTACATGTTATAGGAAATATATCTTTCCTTGTATTGCAATATTTCCCCTTCAGGCACACCATTCTTCCACAACTCCATGCCTGAGCAATACATGTGCAACTGAAGCCAATTACCTTCTGATGATCTACCACAAAACAAAACATAAGCTAACCTGAAGCATGTAGGTTGAAGTGATCTTGCGGTAGGATGAACAGGTCTATTTTGCCTCCGCTTCTAATGATGTGCTACTTAGTAATTCCAGATTTCAGGCTGTTACCCTTAATTTTTGATCTTAAGTGTCCTGAGATTGCTAGAAAGTCTAGTTTCCAGCTCTTGAGAGATTCCAGGATATATATATATATAAGGATGCTTTCATTGCGCCAAACATCTGTGGGTGCAAGGACAAATCTGGTCAGCTATTTTCATCTTAATAGCCACGTGTCAAAGATGGATGGTTCCTGACATATTTGACTCCTTAGGCTTGCACAACTGTGGGGCTGATGTTAATGCGTGCTCATCTTTCACCATGTGTCCTCACTTTTTGGATGCAGCCCTACTTTTGCCTCTTTGGCAAGGAAGCAAAGGTGAAGACCCTGTGTATGTAAGCAAGCAGGGCTGCCATCTCCCCCTGTTGCTGCTTTCCTTTGTTGGGCTGGCTCTCATTATCACTCTTAGAGGCTTTCAGAAGTCGCCCTAGGTGAAAGAGTGGCAGCAACCACATCTGCTTTGCAGATGTTAGGGGTGGTGCCATTTGGGCCCCTCTAAGCCTGATGTGCCACGGCAAGCAAGAGAAATCCTGACTGATTCCAGAACAGCCTCACCTTACATGGCCAACAAACTCAAACTACATTATTCATTTCATTATCATTTCATTTTAGTCTCACATTTGAAATGAAAAATAATGCTTGCAGCAGCTCACAATACAAACAGACATTGTTAAAAATACAATGCAAACCATTCATAGCAGTACTATTGGTACTATTATTATGACCAACTCCAGGTAGTTTGTGCTACCAGGCTATTTTCTAGAGGCTCTCCAAAGTGCGCCAACTTGCTTTCTTGAACAATGGAGCAGCCTGCTTTCTTTCCACTGACCCAGGAGTGGGCAAAGGGTGGCCCATAGGCCACCTGTCATCTCAGGGCCCAGTTTGCAGCCTCCTGAAATGCCAGTCTGGGCAGGATTATTACAGTTCCTATACGGAATAGCATCTCTCCTGTGCAGGATTTGCCTGGAAAAAGTGCAATTAAAACAAAACTCTGTAGGGCTGTTAGAATTCCTGCACAGAACATCATCTTTCTGGCATAGGATTTGCTAGAAAGGGCATTCAGGCAGGAAAATGTGCTGATGCAGGGAGACATTGCAGTGTGTCTTTGCATAGCGAGACTCAGAAAATTACAGAAAATAAGACATTTTGCAAAGTCCACATCATTTCCCTTGAAAAAAATGCTCCATTGTTTTAACCTCATTCTTTCAAGGTATCCATGCAGAGGTATTTTATTATTAAATCTTTTCACCCTCATTTTCTTCAGAGCTTCTTTTCTAAACTCCCAATTAATTCCTGCACATTTTTCTCCATCTATTTCACCCCCCCTCCTCAATTCCTTTTCCCTTTCCTCCCTTTTCTATTGTCTGTGACCATGTTGTTTGTGAGGCAAAAACTGTGAGGTGACACATTTACAATTCCTCTTCAAAGAAGGCGCCTCAAAGAGAAGGAAGCTGGCAGAGTGAAGTCTCAAGTATATTGTCACAATCCACCAGCTCCAGGATGTTCAGGCACACAAAGGCCACATCAGAATCTCCCCTGTCATTTTTCATATGCCACATGCCAAGTGAGCCATGGAGCATAGTAAGCAGGCACAGCTGGTGTGACATCCTGTAAGTGACACTGTCACCGAGTTTGATGCTTTGTCAAACGAGATATCCTGTTCGACAGCAGTGCCTGCAGTTGCCTTGTTTTGAAAATTGGCAGCAGGTAGGGCTGTGCATGTTCTCCTGACAGACGCAGTCTGTTCAAATCCTATAGCCCAGAGGAAATTAGCTAGCATACAAAGGGCCAGTTTGTGAAATACTGCAAGCTTAACTCTAGGAAAAGTGAACCTGGATACAGGCTCTTAGATGGAGCAATGATGAAACTTTGACTTTACTCCTGTCTTTACCTGCTCTTCTCTTATTGATCATGATACACTCTTCATTTCCCATGTTTCAGAGGCAAGCAAATTTTGGAGCCATCCCAGTCTCCTCTTGAAAGTGGCAGAGCAGAGATAGAGGAAACTGTGGCTTTCTAGATTGTGGAACTCAAATTCCCATCAGTTGTAGGCAACCTGGCCAATGGTGACACATGATGGGCACGATAATCCAGGAGTGACTGGAGGGCCTGAAGTTCTCAGACCTGCTGCAGAGAACAATAAATAGAAGCATAGGCTTTCAAATGAAAAAGATCTGTATTTTCAAGAACGCTCACTTTGAAGGAACCATATTGGGTGGGGTTGAAGAATGCCCAACTGTTACAATATGTTATAGAACAAACTGAAGTTTGGGATAGTTGTAGCTTTTTCGACCTGCACCACCTCCCTCAGGAAAAGCAGGAAGGAACAGCAGAATTTAGACTGCAAACATAGGGACGCAAATAAGGAAAGAGAAGCTGAGACTGGGAATCTTTTTTTTAAAATGGAGCGAAGACTGTTATGCAGTTGAATTATTGTTCTGCTAAATATTTGAAAGAAGAACTAGCTAACCTTTGCAGTTCTTACTATCTATGATCAAGCTCACTTCGGACATCTCCCATTACTTTTTATGCTTGGAATCTGATCTGCAGCCAAGAAGCAGCATACTCAATGATTCTGTGTGGTACAACTGTATGGTATCTATATATTCGCGAAGGCTTTCACGGCCAGGATCTAATGGCTGTTGTGGGTTTTTCAGGCTCTTTGGCCGTGTTCTGAAGGTTGTTCTTCCTGACGTTTCACCAGTCTCTGTGGCCGGCATCTTCAGAGGATCCAGTTCAGAGGATCCAGTCCTCTGAAGATGCCGGCCACAGAGACTGGTGAAACGTCAGGAAGAACAACCTTCAGAACACGGCCAAAGAGCCCGAAAAACCCAGAACAACCATTGTATGGTATCTCTCAAAGTATTGACTGAGCTTGCTCTGCTTAGCTGTAGCACTGCCACTATGTAAGGTGCACTGAAACCATTCTCTGATAACACTGGCCACACAAGAGATGGGAGTGTACAGTACCACTTCTCTGTTACCGTGTGGTGACCAATGACAAGGGCATGGATTTGTGACTGACCACTAGATTGTGGAAGGTGCTTCCTTTTGATCAAGTCAAGCAAGGGAATGGGCCTTTTTCTTGCCCCTGCCCCATAAATTCTATTTTTGTGTGTGTAGCATTGCAATTCCAGCGCGAGGTGGCAGAGATGGCAGTGGTAGGACGATGTATGTCTTTGCAAGGTTCACAAAATATGTCAAAAAAACCCTACAAAAGCATTTGATATTTTGGGAAAACAAAGAAATATTGTTTTATCAAAGAATAAAAAAGTTCACATAACACTTCCCTTTGAATATCACATTGTATTTCCTGAAGTGCAAAAATGCAAAACAACCACTTAAATTATTGGACATGAAAGAATGGAAAAATCATCACACTGTAATTCACAGTTTAACCTGTCAAATGTCTTTGATTCACCGTAATTTGTTCGCACACTTAGAAGGTATCTTTCCATATTTTATATAGTATCAGATAGCTTAAAACACGGGTATGAAGAGCAGAAAACCCTCCTAGGCAATCAGTTAAAGTACAGCACAAATCTATCAGGGGCAGTTGGAGAAGGATTGTGTGGTATTTTTCCAATCTTTTAGTTCGGTTTGCACATGCAACAAGAATCTGGAGAACATAATAATAATAGAAACAGGTTTTAAATTAGTATTTGGAACAAGATCCAAATGCTGGAACAGTTTGGAAGAAGGGCCATGTTCCTTGGCCTTGAAAACGGCTTATGCTAACTCATAGTATTTCCCAGTTTCAGGATCAAAATAACAGTTTAGGCAGGGGTCGTACAAGAGAGTAAGTACTTCATCTTCTTCAGCCATGCGGTCACCTTCACCTATAAGGAAATGAAGAATCCATTAATTTTCATCTGAACTACAAACACAGCAGGCAAGGAGGTATATCCTGAGATGTTCAACATCTTCAAATGTTTGCTTAATTCATGATTGATTCATGTTTGCTTGGTCTAGAGGGGCGGGGTAAAAATCAAATAAATAAATAAATAAATAAATAAATTCATGGTGATGTAAAAGCCACTACATTCATGGATTGTGGAAAAATCAGAAATATAAGAAAAAGCTGGAATAGAATAACATGAGTATAGTTTTATTAGTTCACACCAAAAGTCCATCTATCTCAGAACAGTGATCAAACAGATAGTTCTGGAAATCTCTTTATCACAATATGCCATTGACTGTTCACCTCTGTTGATACAGGAACCAGTGATGGCTATGTTTCAAAATTGTAAAAGTGGCCCCAAAATCACTGTCACTGGTCTCTCTCTCTCTCTCTCTCTCTCTCTGTGTGTGTGTGTGTGTGTGAGAGAGAGAGAGAGAGAGATAGAGAGATAGAGAGAGAGAGAGAGTGAGTATATACGAAGGAGGATGCCTCCATGGTTGTTCATAAAATCTGGGCAGGAAAAGAAGCTTTACAGCCTCCAAGATAAGACAATATTAAACACCAAACATACTACACACACTTCAAAATTTCACCAGTGTTCACCAGCCAGATAAAGAATTAATAAGTTCATTTTCTCCCTAATAAAACAGAATAGCTACAGAAATGGGCACATAATTAGTTCACAGGAAGAGCTGAGCCAATTTGAAGAAAACCATTGCATTATGAAACAAAGATTCAATAAACATAATTGAAAATTGGCTTCTACAAAGGCACGGTAATTATTTTCATGTAATTATCCTTTTCTCGTAGTGCCTTCTAAAAGACATTAACATTCCTTAGCAGACCAGTTTTAATGCCCAGGTCACACCTGTCATGCCTTCCTCAAGGGAGAGCCTCCAGCAAGGACAAACGTGGCACTCCAGAACCCAGTGGGGTGGAAGAACTGCCCAACCTTGCCAATCCTGGACCATTAGGGAGCCTGGGCTTGTGGAAGTAGGCAGGAACTGAAGAGGAGAGAGGCAGAGGACAAGGTGGAGCCCTGACACAGTTCATGACAACGAACTGAGGCAAGAGTCCAGCTTGAAGCCCCAAGGCAAGGTGCAGGAAAGGTCTCCTAGATCAGTGGCCCCCAACCTTGGACCTCCAGATGTTCTTGGACTCCAACTTCCAGAAATCCTGGCCAGCAGAGGTGGTGGTGAAGGCTTCTGGGAGTTGTAGTCCATGAACATCTGGAGGCCCAAGGTTGGGGATCACTGTCCTAGATGATAAAAAAGAGAGAACCTCTCAGGAGCAAATATTTTTTCTCGGCCAGAGGTGCTTCTTCCCCTAAAGACCCATGGGCCAAACTTTGCAAGTGAGTTCTCTCAACGGCACAGTTGTTTTGTATGCACATTTTTTCTCTGAAGTAATCCAAAAGCCCTAACCAATGTGGACCTTTTCAAGGGAAGATGGGTTCGTTTCGATGATGCAAACATGAAAAGGTTATTTTAGTCGAGACTGTTGGATCCTGTCAAACTTTCTTCCATTTGTCTGGATAGATCAATCTCCTGTAACTAGTCAAATGGGTTTTAAAAATAATCTGAGCTAATGGCCATCTCCACCTCGCTGGGTAGGAAAAACCAGACGTTAATCATCCACAGGGTAAAAGAACGGCAATTTTTGTCTGTACAGAAGCTCTTGCTTATTCTTACAGCAGGCTGCAGAACAGAACCTCCTAAACCGTGCTAGGCAGCTTCAGTTGGATGTGGGGACTAGTATTCTGCCACCAAGAATGCTCCAGGGGTTGTACAGACCATAAAAAATGCAAAATAACTTAATAAAAATCCCCGGAAGTAGGCAGGAGCCTATTTCTAGTGCTGAAAACTGGTATTCTTTGGTCTTAAATGCTGAATGGGAAAGGGGAGCTCTCTGATGTAAATGGTGAATCACTGCTCCTAAAAGTGTCCAACACTGCTAATTCACCTTTTATTTTTGGGGTTTTGTTTTGTTTTTGCTGGAGAAAGCCATTTTGGTGAGGGTGACATGAGAACCCAGTGGCTTGTTGTAATGTGTAGCCTGCATAATTACATTATAAACCACCAAGAGAGAGTGCTTTAAGCACAACGGGGTGGTATCTAAACAGCGCACTTCGCTTTGCTTTTTGGCTTCTTGTTGGTATGGGACATCAAGTTATCTCCTACTTATGGTGACCCTGGGAATGAGCGACCTCCAAAATGTCACGTCCTCAACAGCCCAAGCTTGTTGTAATGTGTAGCCTGCATAATGACGTTATAAACCACCAAGAGAGAGTGCTTTAAGCACAACGGGGTGGTATCTAAACAGCGCACTTCGCTTTGCTTTTTGGCTTCTTGTTGGTATGGGACATCAAGTTATCTCCTACTTATGGTGACCCTGGGAATGAGCGACCTCCAAAATGTCACGTCCTCAACAGCCCAGCTCCCTTCTTACAAACTCGAGCCTGTGGTTTCTTTTAGGAAGTCAATCCATCTCATATTTGGTCTTCATCTTTTCCTGTTGCCTTCAACCCTTCCTAGCATTATTGTCTTTTCCAGAAAAGTATCCCAAAGTAGGACAGCCTCAGTTTTACCATTTTTGCCTCTAGGGATAGTTTAGGCTTTATTTGATCTAAGACCACAATAGCTGTAGCTACAAAATGACCTTCGAGTGAAGAGCTCAACACTCTGCTCCCTCCATAAAACAAACACAGCACATCAGAGCCTTTTTTTCTGTAACTCCCTTGAGGTTGCTGTCCAAATTCAAGTACTGCTGTCTAGCAGTCATATGCACTTAACAGCATTATCCAGTTATTCACAGAACTGGGAATGAGAAAAGCCACCAAGAAACTCACAATTTTGGTTAGCAGCATCCAGCATTTATTTAATCAATCAGATATATTTTAAAGCTTTGGCAGAGAGCTATGAGCCTTTTTCACAAAAAGTCTTTTTAGAAGAGCTAAAGAAGTAAGGAAGATGATGGATAACAACATGATGGCAAATAATAAATCATAACTGAATGGAGGCTGTATTCCACATTTTATCTTAAGTGTTTACCTCTTTTAAAGAATTACAGTACCAAGTAACTGCTGGCTGAAAGTAATGGTCTGCTATGTCAACATCAGCAGCAATGTTCAGGATATATTTACAGCTAAGATCCTACAAGCTATAAGCTACAGTATTCTACATGGGGGGTACAGACTGTGCAGAAATGCCCTACTCCACATGTTATAGTGCACTTTCTCCTAGAATGAAAACATTATGTTCAGCAGAAAAGTATCAGGATGAAAAATCACTTTATCCTTGTAAAAGTTTAAAAATGGAGGGTCTGTGCACAATGCACTGTTTGGAAACCCCTCCAGCTGTGTTATAGGTATTAGGAGGGTCATCAAAAGTGACCGCTCTGAAACTGCAAGGCACCAATGGCTAAAACAGCTTCTTTATAACTTGAGTCAATACCATCAACGTTGACCCGGTTGGTACATGAGATTGGATCTCTGAAGACTTCACAGAAGTCTCTTCACCAGGTCATAAAGAGAGCTGGTTGGTCAGCCAAAAGGCAGGTATACTCATCTTCAGTGCCCAGTGCCAACTTCTCTATATCATGCACATGTCACTTGGGAGACAACAGTGGCATTGAAGAAGTAGTTGGTATCACAATGTGTTGTATCTGCACCTTTGAGGATCAGGAGGCTAAAAATGCCTGAAACAAAGCTGGCAGTAAGGGATCTTGTGATTGGGTAGTGCTGAGTGTCTGGCAGACACTGACAGAATACGTCTGAGATGGAGCTGACACACCTTGGGAATGTGCTTGATGGGAAGTGGAGTGATGTATCAGATACAGAGGAAAGTCACTTCCTACATCAAGACAAAATGACCCTTGCTGAGGTGTTCTCCTGCAGGATGAATGTGCATGGTACTGAGAAGAATGTATGTACAGTACTGTAGTCATACCTTGCCAAGGAACGTCTATAATAAATGTAAACTGGTGTGTAACAGTGTCAATACCTTCTGTATGACAGCGATGTGAGTAGGATCTATGAGACTGGGACTAGGAGTGAGAATTGGACCAGGATGGGTATGAGAGACACCTATCAGAATGGCAAGTATCCTGATGAGGCTGATACAGAGTATCTGATTCTGGTGGTAATAGCAGTGTTAAGATCATTAAGACAATTTCCCCCCCAATGGGGGAAATTAGCTTGCCAGTATTGAGGTACTGGAGAATGATAGACTGGAGACACTAGTATGGGAATGTATCCAATACAAACCCAACCTAGACAGTGTCTTTGGTGGATTCCCTAAATTTCAGGTTTTGCCACACGCAGTCAGAGATCAAGGATGTCAATGTTATTTATATTGACCAACATTCCAAATAGTGTTACAGTGGAAGGTGATGTTGCCTGAGGTGTAAAAGTTGAAGTCTATGGTGGGTCGTGAGTGTAGGCACTCTAAGGTGCAGAAGGAGCTGGCAGACCTTAACACAGTTATCAGCAACCTCTATTTCACCTGAATCAGTATGATATTCTGAGGCATGTTTCTTAGATTTGACTAAGGGCAGATGCCTTCCTGGTGTTGTTACCAGCCAATTTTGGATTTTGGTTTTCTAGCAAGAAATCAGGTGAGAGAGCAAGAGCTGAACCAAAGGTCCAATTTTATTTTGAATAGCAGAGAGCAAGAAAGGTCAGCTGGGACTTCCCTTAAGGCAGAGAAGATCCCGAACATATAGAGTACATACATTTTATATTGATACAGACAAAGAGCAATAAAATGCTACAATTCTATTGGTCATTCGTACCCCAACTTTGGATCCAGTCCCTCATTGGGTAAACTATGCCAACTACGCTAATCTATTGGTTACATGAAGATATGCATATTGTAGCCCCATCTTTCCTTGACCTGTGCCCAGGATGCGCCTGAACGTCTGGGGACAAGAGTATCCATT